TAATAATTGATCCGATTGAAAAACATCGTTCGTGGCACAATTCAAACGGGATCGAAAGATAATCTTTCTCTCTCCATTCACTTCAATAAATAATTTTCCCGAAATAAGGACCCATGGGTCGGAAGTAGATGGGCGGGACTTCGCCTCTATTCAAAGTCCTTTTCAAAAATCATTCAAAGCATTAAGATATAGTGCTATAGTGTATTTAAATACAAGATATTTAAGAAACATACAAATAAAGAATCTCAGGTTGATTCAGGTTTACAAGTTATGGTAAAAACCGCCCTTAGACAGACTTAGATTGAATTAAAAGTCATTTAATGTGTGTGTTGTGTGTGTGTGTCCCACAGGAACCACGTGCAGAACGGGGTCACCAAAGAGAAGCATCTATAACAGCGCCCCCACCAGGCGGCTGGCTGCACTGCAGACAGGAAGTGAGATCAGGCTGCGAGGAGTTTCTACCCTTTTATTTGTTTAGGAACATTTCATTTCATCGCTGTGGTTTGTTTTGATTAGAGCACTGTGAATGTTTTCCAGCTGACTTTTTGTCCTATTGTTGCTAACTTTTACATTTGATAGATTCAGTAGAAATGTTGAAACATCACGAGCGTCAGAAGAAGTGGGAAAAGTTTATTTAAAAAAAAAAAACGGAAGATACTCGAGGTTTTGGAATAATGAATCCTCCGTCCATCTTCTCTGACGTGAAGAGGAGAGGCTAAAAAAATCCAGATTCAAACGAAAAATATCAAGTTTTTTTTCTCAGCTCCATATTTCACATCTGCAGCAGTGATGAAACCACACGTATTGATTTAACATATCATCGCACAAGTCAGCGGTGGCGTCCATTACTCTGAATTAAAACGCCACATTAGAGAGAGTGTGTGGGTGTGTGTGTGTGTGTGTGTGTGTGCGTGCGTGCGTGCGTGCGTGCGTGCGTGCGTGCGTGCGTGCGTGCGTGCGTGCGTGCGTGCGTGCGTGCGTGGTGTTTCAGGATGGATGTAGCTGATAAACCTTTTCACAACATTTCACCTCTCAGTTCCTCTTATCTCTTTTTGCTGACGATCAACCGGCTTTGGAAGTATTTAAAGTACGGGAAAAGCTTTTTATTGTTTTATTTTTATTGTTCCTACGTGTGTGTGTGTGTGTGTGTGTGTGTGTGTGTGTGTGTGTGTGTGTGTGTGTGTGTGTGTGTGTGTGTGTGTGTGTGTGTGTGTGTGTGTGTGTGTGTGTGTGTGTGTGTGTGTGGCAGAGCGTCTGCACTGACATGAAGGCAAACAAGCCTCTTGCTGGTTTAATGACGGCAAAGAGCTAGAATTGATTGACGGGGATTCATCCGCATCGTTTTGATTTGTTTGAAACAAAACGGATTTAATTTATGGCGGCGATTTACAGAAAAATTGTAACAATAGCCAAAAAACTTGTGTAAAGATAAAGATCAGTATGATATAAAAGAATAAATAAACATTATGTATGCACACATTATTCAGGAATGCATGACATGGAATGATTTTTGAGAAATATGCTATGACATTGTCTCACAAACAATGAAGAAAACAAATCCTCTCGCTATGTAATCATATCTGTATTAATGTCTAAAAAACTGAACAGTGATCTTTCTTTGAAGCAGCAGCGACCACTCGACACGAAGAACTATAGATAGGGCTGGACGACACGAAACTAGTCAAATTATACCATATGTGGAATTAAGGACTTGATTGGAAGAGGCCGTTACTAGAAAAGTGTGTTTGGGACACGTTGATTTTTCTCGAAGGGGTTTAATCTGAGAAAATACATTTCTGACGTGACAAAAAAAAGGCTTTGGACGTTTTTGGTTTAAAAAAACTCCTTTATCTGTACTTTTTTAGTTTTTAAACTATTCAATTATACAGTGAAAGATCCCCTACTAGTTTACTTTAATGTTTTTAACCCTTAGATTTTTATCATTTCATTTTCCAGCTATTCCTCAAAAAACATGTTTTGGATATCATGCCATTCAAATTTTAAATTTTATGAAATTGTAGTTTTTGTATTTCTACCCCAAGCTTCCATAAGTGGGTCAAAAATGACCCGCATGCATTTTCTATGGAATTTCGTTTTTTTTTCAAAATGTAAAAGAAATGTCTAAAATTATAAATAGTGAAAAATTACATTTCTAGTGTGAACCAAAATATAATACTAAATAACCAAAATGACAAAAATGGCATAAAAACACAATATTATTCTAATACGGGTCCTTTTTGACCCACTTATGGAAGAGAGTGGGGTCCAGGCACTCGTGCATCTAAGGGTTTCATCAATATCACAATATCTCCTGTAATGCAGCATTTAAACCCAGAGATACAACATGTTACAACAATTACAATATCTCAAATCTAAGGTAATATAATGTTCTGATATCACAAGCTCTACTAAAAACAGTGTGTGATTATCCTCAATGTTATTTAATAATGCATTTAAAAAAAAGATATATCACACAAGGACAATTTCATCCTAAAAATCCACATATGGGAAGATTTTTAAAGTCATCTGGAAAAAATAAATATGAAATAATATTGAAACTATTAAACATATTAAATATCTAGTCTCTTATCATGATATATAGTGATTTATATGATCCAGCCCTACTGACAAACACATGAAAACAGGTGTGTGATGAGCCTCAATTTGGCATTTAAAAACACACATCTTGATATATATTTCAGACTCAAAGGATGGGATGATTGTGTCTCATAAATCAGATCAGTCTCTGTAATTCTTCTGTGAGAGTGCACGCTGCTGCTGCACCTGTTATATTTTGAAAGGGATATTTTCTACACTTCCTCTCGATCAAATTCCAGCTTGTTGTTGGATGAACGGTGGGCTTGTGCTGCTGGAGCCGCAGATGCTTTCTGTCTGTCTTCCACATTTACACCCCCCCCCCTAAACATCATGGTGTGGGGCGGGGTTACAACTAATTTTATATTTTATTTCTGTAGTCATGTTTTTTGTTTTTTTTTAATTGCTGCTGTTTTATTTCCTCTGAGAGCACTGTTAGTATTCCAGTTGTGATCAGCTGTACTGTAGAAAACACGGTTCTTATCCAACATGTGTAGTGTCAGACAGGAAGTGAGACTGAAGACCCACACAGTCGGGGGGTTTTTTTTGTGTGAAGTTTGCAGTAAACCCACAAACACCCAACATGTGGATTAGGTGTGTCTCATCCCTAAAGTCTGGTATTTACAAAAATAAAAACATTCCTACAGTCTTAAGGGGACACAAACGCACCATCAGACGGTTTCAAATGTGTTTATTTTGCATCTTAATGATTTTTACTTTGATAGATTACCCCAAATACATCTGCAGCAACTACCAGATGTGCGTTAGATAATATTTAATTTAATGTTCTTTAACTTTTTATGTCAGTATGATTTAAAAAATGAATTTCATACACGTCCCCCACCCCTACGCACCACAAAAGAGGATTTATTTTCAGGATTTTCGGCCAGAAACGTCCGTTAAGTTAGGAAAGTAAAGTTTTTGTTAGGAACAAATCATGATTTAAGTTAAGAAATGTCATTTCTGTCTCCAAGACAAATCAAAAATAAAAGGAACATTTTCTTTTAAATTGATCATTTATTTATCTTTCTGTATTTAATTGGATTATTCTTATTTAAAATGTTCTTAATATTGCATGTGAAGCTCAGTTCAGACCGACAACTTGTGGGATATTTGATGTTTAAACCGTTTCTACACATTAAGGGAGAAATCCTCCTTTAGTGTAGAACTTTAGTGCAAAATAAACACACGTTTTGAGTCTAATTAAAGTGAAATAAACAACTTAATTTGGAATCTGGTTGTTTTCATTCCACTAGTCTGAAATATGACATGTTATTGAAGCAAATGAGAAAAAAAAAAAAAAGTGAAATTATACCAATTGTTTCTTATTTTTAAGATCAGGAATTTTGACTTTTTTCGATGTTTCTTGGTAGACATGACGTCTGTACGAGTTGTCGGTCTGAATTTCGCCTTTTCAAATTGTCCCTGCGAGTGTTTTATTTGTGCCAAACGTCCACCTAAAATAATTTGTCGGGCGTTTGTGGGAGCTGACGAGACGAAGCGCTTAGAGAACGACGGGCAGAAAACGCCCTGCAGGTATTTCTTATAAATTGCACTGTAATTTATTAGTATTATTTTTATTGTTCAATAGGAAGATTAGAAAAAGGGAAGGGGAGAATTTGGGGGGATTTGTGTGACTTTGTGGGAAGAATCAGTAAATACAAGTGGATCACTATTCACTGTATGATAAACAAATTACCCTTTCTTTGTTTTAAGGAAATCTGACCACTTTTTAAATCTGAATTGATAAAGACATGCTCTTTTGTAATGCAATTTTAATACCATTCAGCCAATGTTATCATTTCATTTCCTCCCATCAAATAAAACATGTCAGTAAACGAAAAAAAAGCAGCTTTGTGTGTTTTTTTTTATACATTTTTTTTATTTTAATCACAACTTTTCATTGCAGAGATCAAGTGTGAGCGGAGAAGGGTTCAGTGCACAAATGAAAAAATAACTGCTTCAATAAATTAAAAATTCATATGTACCACGCACGCAGCATTTCCCTCGAGTCGGTAAAAAAAAGGGTCACGCGGTGGAAAATACAAAAAACAAAAAATCACCCACAACAAGGTAGAGACACATCGGGAGTCACTGCAGTATTCATTCACACACACACACGTTTTAATAGGACCAATATCTGTCTCTTCCAATTTTAACACAAACACTGCAGCGACAAAATGTTAACACAGTTTAAAAAAATCTCAGATCAGATTATCGCTGAAGTCACAAACTCATAAGGTGTTTCTCTCAGATAAAAAAAGGGGTCGTTATCTCGTCTCTACACGTCGCCCTGATTGTATTCTAAGACCAGCTTTAACATGACTCAGCGTTTCCCAGCATGACTTGTTTTATTCATTACAAAAAAAGACTTGAGCAGTAAGAAAACCAAGTCACAGAAACAAACATTACAGGAAAATAGGGGCACAAAAAGTGGAAAAACGTCCCTAACGTTAGATATTATTAAGGGGGGGGGGTTAATGCAAACAGTAATTATCTGGCAATCGAATGTTGCTTTTCATTATTTCACTACCAAGGCGATTTAATCAGGATCATCTAGACACTACTTCACATTTTGTTTTGACAAGTTGTGGATTTTTGTCTAATTTTCACTTAAAAAAAAGGACAAATTCAGATTTCAATACTCACAAACCCATATGGCATTTTTAAGCTGCACATATTTTCATCATCGCTGTATACTTTTCTTCAGAACAAACGGCGAACATTTGAAGTATTTTCTATGCCTTTTAGAAATTATATTTGTCATTTGTTTCCGAGTCGGACAAAAAAAAAAGGTAGTTTGAAAACATCATGGAATTCAATGTGAATTTGTATCCAGTTTTTCTAAAACGCTCGTTAATGTTAGTTACATTTGTTAAATTGCAGCCCTAAAGAAATGGGAAACATAATCCAGTCTTTTCTAAATTCACCAGAGACTAAAATGAGTTAATTTGAAGTCTTTTTATTTTGAAAAAACAGGGAATTACGACCCAAAAAGACTCGCATATAATCTACCGCTGCACGTAGAAAAGTGGTTTCCTCTCTACAATGTGACTTCAACAGTCAGTATGAAAATAAATAATAATGACACCGACTGATAACTGTTTAAACTTCTTTATGGGAGTGTGAGTATCGTATTTAAACAATGTGAATCTGTCCTTAATTATTATCTGGGTTAAACTCAGCGACTTCAGACAGTCTCTGAATCCCGTCTACATCTCTCACTGGAAACATTTCTGTGTGTGTGTGTGTGAGAGAAATGATTCCTGATTGTTCCAGTCCGGAGAGACCAAAAGGAGGAGTTGGCAGCGGTCCAATCTGACATCATAGTTTATGGATGAAGGAAACGAAAAATATTCTGCTGGGTTTTGAAAGCCGTCGGTTCGGCTCGGCCCAGCTCCTGCTTTCACACAAGTTCTTGGATTTGAAGAAGATGGAGAGAGAGATGTGGAACTTGTACTTTAGTGGGATTTCACTTTGGGCTGCGTGACTCTGCGGGCGACGCTGTACAGGAGCCCGAAGTTCTGGAGGAGAGAGAGAGAGAAGAACACAGAGAGAGATAGAGATATCAGAATCAGGTTGATCACCAGGTAGGTTTACACGTACGGGGAATTGGACTTGGTGTCGTGGTACATGAAAACAATTATTAAAAACACAGGTAGAGAAATAGAAAAATATTTAAAATAACAAATATTTGTGACCTGCTCCATCGAATTCAGTCGCATCGACCCGAAGACACATTTTGAGTTGTATACACTGTTGGAAAGAGGAGATTCCTAGCTTTCTGATGATATCAGGATTGTTGTTGTAAATATTAAGCAAAATATGTCACATTATATAATGACTGTCACCGAGTCATCACTTCTCTGAAATCCATCGATCGGATTGATTATTAGTGGAGCAAATGATCAAAGGACTACGGAGGGAAGACATTTTAGTTTGGATTACTGGTCTGGGGGAAGCTCACGAGTGAGTGTGTGTGTGTGTGAGTGAGTGAGTGTGTGTGTCTGAGTGTGTGTGTCTGAGTGTGTGTGTGTGAGTGTGTGTGTGTGAGAGTGAGTGAGTGAGTGAGAGTGAGTGAGTGAGTGAGTGAGTGTCTGAGTGTGTGTGTGAGAGAGTGAGTGTGTGTGTCTGAGTGTGTGTGTGTGTGAGTGTGTGTGTGGTGAGAGAGTGAGTGAGTGAGTGAGTGAGTGAGTGTGTGAGTGAGTGAGTGAGTGAGTGAGTGAGTGAGTGAGTGAGTGTGTGTGTGAGTGTGAGTGAGTGAGTGAGTGAGTGAGTGTTGTATTTATCATCTGAATTTGCCGAAACAAGTTTAATATTCTGAAAGCCAAGACTTTGTTTAATTGAAATCAGATGAAAACAAACTGTAACGGACCCTGCCGTGTTATCTAAGGTTACTATACGCCTTACATTCATAATGTCATCCGGAGGGAGGGGGAGCGGCGCTGAGGAACAGCAGGGTGCGAGTGAGAGCTGTCTTCTTCCCTTCACAAGCTTCAAACATGTGTTTATTGTGTGATTTTGGAAATAAAAGTTTCATGTTCTGAAAGCAAAGGCTTTGTTTATTTAAAATCAAACAAAACACCCGAACCTCCAAAACTA